CAATAAAAAATTAAAGAGTTTGGGGCAATACTTTAAGAAGATATTTTTTGTGTTTTTGTTTTTTTTCTAAAGTAGTTATGTAACATTTCCAGTTCTGAAAAAACATCACTGAAGAATGTCTGTTCTTTTAGGATACGGATTTTCCACAACGTAGTTGGCTAAGTTGATTCATGTCGAGTTGTGTGGTTCTAAGTACGTCTGGGCATCAGATCCGTCCACCCACACACATGTATGAGATGCTCCGGAGGTGCGTGGCCCTGTGTTGAGCAAAGCGCCTGGAAGGTGGGTCCAGGTTAGAGGAGAGACACGTGGACAGATCACTCAGGCTCTGTCTGTTCAGCGCGCTGGCTGGGGAGCTGGGAAGCTTTGCCTCTGACTGGCTCTGTGACCATGGGCCGGTGACCTAACTCCCCTGAGCCAGGGGTGCTGACGGCAGTATGGTGGTGTTTCCCTGACAGTGGGCTGTAGAGATGAAATGGAACAATCCATGTAATGAACTGAGCAGTGCTATCATAGTTTGTGGTATTCACAGTGCAATAAATATAACGGTGCCTCCTGACCTTTGACACTTTGGGGGGCAATCTGACTGCCCAGCTCAAACCAAGTATGTCCCATTCTGGGTTTCCTCATTCACAGTTCTGATGTCTCACCTACTATGCCTTCCAGGAATGATACTCCGTCAAAAAGGGAAGTTGTGAGTCATCCACTCAGCAAACTAACCAAGTGCCCGCTGATGGCATAGCGCTGTGGGAAATTAAAGAAACACTGCACTCTGGTGTACCCCCGGAGAGACCTCGCTGTGGAGGGGGGTGTGAGTTAGACAGAGGCCCCGGGAGAGAATACTGTCCGAAGTCGCCAAGTGGCAGAGCTGAGATCTGAGAGCAGAGCCATCACGTTCTTCTGTGGCATGCTAGTTTTCAAGGACAAAAGCCCCAAGTAGAAAGTACTATTATAAGACAGTGATAGTCAGAAATGATGATAGATGGGACTGTGTTTTTAAAACTAAAAAATGGATTCAAATCAGGAGTGAAGACTAGTCATGTGTGGGCCGGGGGCACAGAACCGGCCATAACAAGGTTGCTATGGTCAGGTCCAAGCCCTTAGGCTCTGCAGGGACCAGGAAGGAATCGAGTAGGATGGCAGCTCAGGCGTGCTCAGGGCCTGCTTCCCTTTCATTCTGTGTGGTTCCTGAGCCAACCAGGGCCCTCATCCTCTGAGCCACTGGCCTAGTCCTGTTGGGCCCACGAGGCTGCGGCCACATTTTGTGGTTTCACAGGTGCTCCATGGACAGTCCCCAGGGAAGGCTGCTCATTTCTCCCCCGCTGCTCTGGTGTGGTGAGGATCCTGTGCTTTCGGGCAGGGGGAGGTGAGGAGAGGAAGCTCCAGGGAAGGGTGAGCAGCTGGCTGGGAGTTGACCAATACCAGTCATGCATGCCTGTACCCATTCAGCAAATATTTGAGTGCCTTCCAGGATGAGACTCTGGAACCTCGTCCATGTGATCAGTCTCCTAAGAATTAGAATGAGAATGCCAAAACGGGTTTGGCTCAGTGGATAGAGCATCGGGCCTGCGGTCTGAAGGGTCCCAGGTTCGATTCCGGTCAAGGGCATGTATCTTGGTTGCGGGCACATCCCCAGTAGGGGGTGTGCAAGAGGCAGCTGATTGATGTTTCTAACTCTATCCCTCTCCCTTCCTCTCTGTAAAAAATCAGTTATATGATACATTCACTATCATTTCACTCATATTTGGAATCTAATGAACTAACAAGCAAAATAGAGACAGACTCAGAGAGAGCAGGCTGCCAGCTGCGGGGTGTGTGTGGAGGGACTGAAGAGAGAGAATTCATGAAAAAATAAAGACAAGACATTTACTAACATTTATATTTATTCTCATTGTAGCAAGTGTAATATTATACACATATTTTACAACTTCTTTTTATTTGTTTATCCTCACTGGAGGATATGTTTCTTGTTTTGAGAGAGAGAGAGAAAGAGAGAGGGGGGGGGGGGAGGGAAAAACATCAGTGTGAGAGAGAAGCTTTGATCAGTTGCCTCCCGTACACGTCTGATCGGGGATCACACCCACAGCCTAGGTATGTGCCCTAACCAGGAATTGAACTTGCAACCTTTTGGTTTACGGGACAGTGCTCCAGCCAACTGAGCCACCCAGCCAGGGATACAATTTGTATATATTTTGAAATAAATACAAATATATTTTAAAAAAATAAAATACATTTTAAAAAGTGAATCCCCATTCATCATCAAGCTCCAACAACCATCAATGTTCCTGTTCTTATTTAATATTTTCTCTCCACTTTCACTTTTTCCCCTGGATTAAAGCAAATCTCAAACATCTTATCATTTCTTCATCAATAAAGTATGTTTCCAGAGATGAGAAATTTTCAAAAAATATTACATAATACCATTATCATACTAAACAAAATTTAACAATTCCTAATATCAACTAATAACCAGGTTAAATCTATTTTTTGTCAGTCATCTCACAAATGTCTCTTTGTTTTTAATATATATTTTATTAATTTTTACAGAGAGGAAGGAAGAGGGATAGAGGGTTAGAAATATCAATGAGAGAGAAACATCGATCAGCTGCCTCCTGCACACTCCCTACTGGGGATGTGCCTGCAACCAAGGTACATGCCCTTGACCGGAATCGAACTTGGAACCCTTTAGTCTGCAGATCGACACTCTGTCCACTGAGCCAAATCGGTTAGGGCACAAATGTCTTTTTACAATGGTTTGTTTGATTTGATCCCAGCGAGCACCTCACATTGCTAGTTAGGTATATTTCAAGTGTCTATATATCTCTTCACACCCTCCCATGCTGTTTATTTTCTGGAGAACTTAGATTATTTGCCCTGTAAAAAGTCCCACATTCTGGACTTGCTGATTGCATCCTCCTGGATTTGTTTAACACATGCATCTCTGCCCCACGTTTTCTGTAAACGGGTGATTCATTTAAAGATTCAGTTAAAGTCTGTTTCCTTTTGGAAGACAAGAATGCGTCATTGTTGGAGCTGTGTACTTCTTGTTGCATCACTTAAGAAGATTGTCATTTAAGATGGATCCATGAGCCTGGCTTTATGGTGGTCTTTCTGCATATGTACACACAAAATCCTTTGCATTTTTTTTATTTAGATATATTTTTATTGATTTCAGAAAGGAAGGGAGAGGAAGAGAGAAACATCAATGAGGAGGAGAATTATGGATTGGGATCGGCTGCCTCCTGCTCGCCCCCTACTGGGGGTTGAGCCCGCAAGCCAGGCATGTGCCCTTAACTGGAATCGAACCCAGGACCCTTCAGTCGGCAGGCCGAGGGTCTATCCACTGAGTCAAACCAGTTAGGACAAAAAAAATCTTTTATTTTAAAAGTGTGTGTGTGTGTGTGTGTGTGTTGTGTGTGTGTGTGTAAAGAAACACATGTGTTGGGTAGTTGAGCTAGAATGACAAAGCAAGGCCATAACGGGGTCCTCACAAGCAGGCTTCATTCTGTGGGAGGAGAGGAGGCAGCACCAGGTCTGGGGAAGGCCTCGGAGCCAGCAGGGCACTGGTGCTGCCGGCAGCCAGCGAGCTGCCTTCTGGGACCTCACGTAAAATGATGAAACGGAGTGAAAAAGTGGCGGCGAGCCGGCTTCCTCTCCGCGCCCCAGTCACTGAGCTGCTGTCGCGGGGAGGATACTGGTGAGTGCGGAGTCTGCTGGTGGTGTGCAGGAGCTGCGTGGTCTGAGGGCGCTGGCTCTTTGGTCCTCGCCTTCTCATCCTTTGGAAGCGGAAATCAGGTGGCCTTCTGGCGGTGAGTCTCAGGCTGCGGGGCTGTCTAACTGGACAGAGTGGGTAAGAGGACCCTCGGCAGCACAGTCTCGGGGCTGGAAAGGGGGCCTCCATGTACAGATGAGAAAACTGTGGTCCAGAGAGAAGGGGGTCCCCAAGCCACCCATCCCCTGGAACCAGCATCCAGCCCCCGGTTCTCGGACTGTGCCAGCCCGCCAGCGTCTCCTCCTTGGACTTTCTGAGGCGTGAGGGTGGCCAGGTCAGGGTCTGCAGCCAGAATGTCTGAGTGTGTTTGGTGTTGGTCTTATCGTCCTTCTTGTTCAGTTCCTGGCGGGGTCTTGGATTTGGAAGAGCTGCTAAGCATGGGCTCTCTCCCAGCATTCGGTGGCCAGTGTGGGCTGGGATGGCACAGTGGTTTGTGTACAAACTGGGTGTCATGAGCCCCAGTCTCAGCTCCACAGCCATCAGTTTGCGGAGAGTTCTCAAGCCACAATGTCCTCAAAAGATTGGCCCAGGTTTGCCCAAAGCCTGGTGTGAGTGTGCCAGATGGTTTTATACTCACAGTTACTTATCGCTCATGGCAAGCGGTACTGGTTTTCTATTTTCAGCCGTGCCATAAGCCTCCTCATTGAAGGTATTGAGTTGGTGGATTTAGACGAAATAAGGCAGGTGATAGTCTAACCTGGCAGCAGGCGAACTGCGAAGATGGCAGTGTGGAAGGCATTGGCCAGGTGACCTTCCGGGTCCTTCCTAGCTTCCACACCTTTCAGAGTTACAGGGCTTTCTGTATATTCTGGCATAAGCCAGTCACCATCCTTCTGACCTGAGCAGACGCCCTGCCATTACAGAGGCTATCCAGAGTTAGGGGACAGCCTGCGGGTGTTCAGTGTGACTGAGCGTGTGCGCTGGCTGGCTGGTTATCCTGGAGAAGGTGGGGCAGGGAGACCAGTTCCCGGAGAGGCATCGGGAGCCGCTGTGCTGGTGCGGCTGTGATTTGGTGCGGTAAATTCCGGGCCGTGTTCATTGAAAGTTCCTGAGTCCTTGCTGTCTGGGTAGTGTCCCACGACTGTCCTCCTCTGCAGCTCCTGGGAAGTCGACTCGGGGTTCAGTCCTGATCTGAACATCTGGAACTGAGAGATTGGGGGGGGGGGGGTGGCATGGAGGTGAAGGGGTGAGCTGCAGAAATGGACAATAAGGGCTCTCTGCCTTTCAGGATTTTCCTGAGGAGCTTCTTCACTCAAGAATTTGCTGAGAGCCAAGGATGGCAAGCAAGGGGCCCTCAGCCTCGGCGTCCCCTGAGAACTCCAGTGCCGGGGGACCCAGCGGCAGCAGCAATGGCGCTGGTGAGAGCGGGGGGCAGGACAGCACCTTCGAGTGCAACATCTGCCTGGACACAGCCAAGGACGCCGTCATCAGCCTGTGCGGCCACCTCTTCTGGTCAGTGCCACCGCAGCGCGCACTCTGCCGGCTTTGGGACCCTCCTAGCCCTGGCGGAGATGGAGAAGGTTTCCCACACACTTGGGTTCTGACACACTCAGGTCTAAAGTCAGGCAACCTGGGATCTCATCCCAGCTCCAAGGCCGGTCCAGTTCCCACCCTGAGCTCCCTATCCCCGTCTCTAAAGTAACAACACTCCCATTTAGCAAGCACTTACTGCGTGCTACTTGCTTGTTAGCCAAGAGGCAGGATAGTACAGTGGTTTTGAGCAAGGACTGTGGAGCCATCAAAATGAAGCGGCAGAGTCAGTGTCCGTTCCAGCCTCAATGGTTCCAGAAGCTCCTCATGGCTCTGAGAATCTGGGTCAATGTTCAGATCTTATGAATTAAGCCAGGGTATCATTGGCAAGAGCACAGACTCTTAAATGAAACCGGTGCTTCTTATCGGAGTGGTTTATCTCTGGACAGATCTGCTGCCCTCTCTGTGCCTCAGTTTCCTTATCTGTAAAATGGAGATAATCACACTTCCTCGAAGGTTAGTGTGACCATATAGTGTTTTTAACAAATGCAAAGCTATCCAGCCGCAGGCTGGCATACAGTAGTTGCTTTATAAACAGGAGTAATCATCATCATTGTTATACTCTCATTTTCCCCTGAAGAGAAGTTACCTCCACTTCTCCCCCACAGCCTTTGTGGGGAGTTGCCAGTGGAGTTCTGCCCTGATTTAGGGTGCCCTGGGCCCAGTTTGGAGTGACAGTGCAAGATTAATGCTGGAGACAGATGTCAGTGTCCGTTATGCCCAGGGAGATCGCGTGTCCGGATTGCGCGGCTTACCTGTGTTTCAGGAATTGGGAAAGGAATCATCCTGTGAGTCTGAATGTTACTGGGGTAGAAGAAACGTGGTGTTTGAGAAGCAGAAGTCATATCCGTGTTCTCCTCTGTCCTGACGTGTAGTAGGTGTGCAGTTGACATTTGTTACTTGAATGAGTGAATCAAGAGAGAAAGAAAAGTTAAAAATCTGGAGTTAGATGGACTTTTCCTTCAATTCTATAAATGTCATTTTTTTTGTACCCCCAAAAAAATGGGTGATAGAGGGACAATAAACTGGAAGTCAGGAACTTTTTTGGCGCCCTTTGCTCTAGGCAGGTCATTTAATATGATTTAATATTTCTGAGCTTGGTTTCCTCATTTGGAAAATGAGAGGCTGGGCAGGAACCTCTGTAGCGTAGCTCACTAAGCTGAAGGTAGCCCCACACTTCTCTTCCTTAAAGATGTTTTTAACTGTGGACCTGAACTTGAAGCTATGTACTGCCGGCCGAGCTCTCAAGGCCGAGGACAGCCTGACAATGTTGTTAAACTGGATCTAGAGCCACACGTTCCTTTTGAGTCTGAGGAGGCTGTGAATCCACTGACATTGAACTCAAAATATTACATGTGTACATGCATGTGTGAATGAGAGCATGAGAATGTTCCCGTGAATTTTTCTACACAGAGGGACCTAGCTTTTTTTTTTTTTTTTTTAATCCTCACCCAAAGGTATATATTTTAATTAATTTTAGAGAGAGGGGAAGGGAAAGAGACAGAGAGAGAAACATCAGTGTGAGAGAGAAACGGAGCGTTGCCTCCTGTCTGCCCTGACCAGGTTTTGAACTTGCAACCTGGGAGTGTGCCCTAACCTTCAGTCATTTAGTATATGGGATGATGCTCCCACCCACTGAGCCACACTGCTCAGGGCTGGGTTCCTTCGCTTTTATTGGATTCTTTTAAAGGCCGAAGCCCCTGGGAGTTTTTCTTGTAGAGAAGCTGGGTCTCGGGTGGTCTGACAGTGAGGCTTTCACGAGGAGAAGGGTCCCAGCGTGGAGATGGGCGTGCTGACTCCATCGCTTCATTTCCCGTGTTTGTGGCCAGGCCTTTCTCATCTCTGGCCCGTGAGTCCCCTGCTCAGGGGCTGGCCGTGCCCACACTTCTACCCACTTTCCCCATTTTCTGCTCCCGCCTCGATTTTCTGCTAATGACATTTTCTTTTTTCCCTCCCCCCTCTCTCTCCTCCTCCATGGCTGTCGCCCTGGGGACTTGACAGTTGGCCGTGTTTACATCAGGTAAGGCGCATTCATTTTACTCTGTCTTTCATCAGCTGTGGTTGCACAAGACACCCCTGGTCTCGGGAGACTGCTGTCAGAAACGCAACCTCGGCCGCCTGTGGGCTCATGTGCTCGCCTTCCCTCAGCCCCCATTAGGCACCTGCCGCTGACGGGCACTTGATGAAACAGGGATCAGCGTGGCCCCCAGGGGGTCCTTCGCAGGCCACTGCCTCTCAATTCCTCATCTGAAGACTGGGTTGGATTTGATAGTATGCTTATTTTTTATTTTTGAGATTTTGCCTCTAGAAAGTGTCTCCTGTCATATCAACCTTCTCCCTGCCCCTAAAGGTCTTGAGAATGTTATAAAGGGGAAAACACTTTGTTCTCAATAGAGAGCTATGGTGACAGGAAGGAAGTCTGTTTTCCCAGCGTTAGATTATTATGGAAACCAGGTAATGCGTATTCACTGGGACCCAAGCCCGGCATTCACAGCGGGCTGTGAGGAAGCACTGCGAGCTGGCTGCCTCCACGGTTGTTGTCATGGAGGCCCGAACTGGGAGGGGGCCTAGGGATGTGGGGGAGAACAGAGGTTCCAGACCGTTCGAGCCTCAGAATCCGGATGGGGGAAGGTAGGGGAAACATCCTGGTCCCAGTGGGACCCGGTGAAACGTGGCCGCTGTAAATCTATAAAGAGCACAGGATTCATTAATTTTGGGGCTTTTGACAGTAAGATCAAGGAAATAAGATACAAAATCGTTGAACACTGCCTTTTCCTTGGCACTGAAGTCCTAGATTCACATTTATGTGACGCATTTTTCTCTCCTGCTTGCAGTGGTTGGAGACCAGACCTAACAGACAGGTGTGTCCAGTTTGCAAAGCTGGAATCAGCCGGGACAAGGTCATCCCCCTCTACGGCCGGGGCAGCACGGGGCAGCAGGACCCCAGGTGAGGCCTGGAGCGCCTCTCACACCCCCTCTTCCCCTTTGGACATGAATTCACTTCCACTCAGCACCGACTCACCCCTCTTTACTTAGTGCTTGCCACCTCAGTTCTGAGGCAGCCGGAGTGCAGATGGGAGTTAGCTGAGGGGAGTGGGGAGGGAGTCAGGTTGCCACTTGCTGAGCTACAGAGCAGACACCCACTGAGCGTCTGACCGGGGCAGGCAGTGTACTCGGTGCACAAGACATCACCAGTGCAGGTGTGCAAAGTGCTGTACAGGAGCCGCCTGGGAAGCCGGGTCCTAGCAGGAGTCTGCAAGGAGGTGGCTTGCTGTAGCCGTGATGCATAGAATATGGGGGAGGAAGGGACAGGGCCTGGGAGTCTTGTGGAGTTGAAATTTCTGGAAATGAAGGTGTGGGTGAGTCTGGCATTCTCCAGACACAAGTACTGAGAGCCCTTTGTGATGTGGCATGTACATACATACACACACACACACACACACACACACACACACACACCCTAACTCTGCAGCACACCCAGTGGCCAGACACATTGGGCTTCTCTTAAAGGAGCTTACCCTTTCACATTCATGAGCCTTTGTATTTGTTGTCCCTTTGCCTCTTCTGCCCCCCCAGTTCAACAACTCCTCCTCCTCCTCCTCCTCCTCCTCCTCCTCCTCCTCCTCCTCCTCCTCCTCCTGTTCTCTTCCTCTTCTTCTTCCTCTTCCTCATGTAAACTTCTGCCCATCTGGAATGAGCAGCCCTAAAGTTACCTCCTGGAAATGGCACTTATCCCCACATTAGTTGCTCCCACCCCATTTGGTTCAGACCTCTATAAAGAAGTCCCTTCCCACCCTGTACAGTGATTGGTGGGAGCCCCCTTTAAGAGTACGGGTCTGTCCTCAAGAGTAGGGTCTGTCTTCAGTCTTAGCATCGATAACAATCTGCCTTGTGCTTAATGGGGAACAAGTCCTCAGTCCGGTCTTGGTGGGACGCGTGATGGCAGAGGCTGGGACCCAGAGGCAAACGGAGTAGAGGACATGGGCAAGCATATGTGGGTGGTGAAGCTGCAGTTCACAGGCAGGTCAGAGAGACCAGGAAGCTCAGCCCTCTCCGCTGACAGGCCCTTCTGTTTCCGGGTAGATTTGGGATTTTTTATTTCCGTGACCCCTCCATCACACCAGCCAGTGCTCGTTGTCTGGCCGGTAGTCTGGGTCATGCTGTCTGTGAGGGGAGTAGGCTCAGTGCAGTCTGCTGAGCATCTTATAAACAAGCTGATTTTCTCCTCTGTTTTCCATAGGCAGAGAACAACTGCAGGTACAATAGAACAAAGAGTGATTTAGTGTTTGGTTTATCTTGGCGTAGGTACCTGCCGGGCAGGAAGGGGGCGGGGCCCTGGTGAACTCCCACTTCACCTGGGAGCAGCTCAAAGCGTTATGTAATAAACCTGTCTACACCGTTTCTGTTTCAGAGAGAAGACCCCGCCCCGTCCTCAAGGCCAGAGGCCCGAGCCGGAGAACAGAGGGGTGAGGAAAAGTCTAGGGGAAGCTTCTAGAAATGAGTGCATGGCTCTAGAAGTTTCTCTGTTGGCCCTATACTTTCTCCTCCTTGATTAAAAGTAAAGGAAATTGTGTAGAATACAAGAAGGGAAAGGGAGAAAAAAATCACTTACAATCCCACCATCCAGAGATAACCACTGGGGACATTTTGGTCTATTTTTTATATATACACACACATACATTTTATAGATCTTTTTATGTCTATGTGTTTTATTTATAGAAATTGACACATTTCCTCCCCTCCCCCCCATTTGAACTACGGCATTTTCTTAGGATTCCCAGGAGTGTGACTATTGAGTCAGGGATCTAGATAGAAATTGAGGGTCTCTTCTCCAGATTACCCTCAATAGTAACAGCAACGAACACTTGTGGAATGGTTATTATATGCATGGGTAGCTTGTGCCGATGTGCCCTTGTTATTGGGCATAAGGGTTATCGCCAATTCTGTAGAAAATGCTACAGGCGTGCGTGGGACTCTGGGAAAGAAGCTGGAGCTCTAAGAACCCTGGCTTGCTTCAGCAGAGAGTTTTATTTTGGGTAGAACCACATCTTTCTGGCATTCAGATCTTCACTGGGATTCCTTGTAGGCTAGATGGGCCACCAGGTTCCTCTGCCTTGGAATCTAGATAGGAAGAGATGTCCGTCACCACCACCCCCACCTGGAAATGGTGGCAGAGGGTGGGGAGGAGAGGTGGATGTCACATGCAAGGTGACGTGTGTAACAGGTGCAAGAGATACCTGCTTGTCCCACTTCTTCATTGCATTTCTTCTGCTCAGGGATTTCAAGGATTTGGCTTTGGAGATGGCGGCTTCCAAATGTCCTTTGGAATCGGGGCATTTCCCTTCGGGATATTTGCCACGGCGTTTAACATCAATGACGGGCGGCCTCCTCCAGGTAAGACCCTGTTCCCTCGGCAATCCTGCTCGAAGGCTCTCCAGAATCCAGCGGTATATAGGTGATAGATCATTGTTACTATAATCAGCCTTCAGAATGTGCTAAACTCTCCCCAGATTACTGGTAGATGCTAATGATAATGCATACTTAGCAAGCATCAGGCATGTTCAAAGTGCTTTCTGCTATACATTCAGAATCCTCATGAGAACCCTTGGGACAGATGGGCAGTTAGCTCCATTTTACAAATCAGAAAATACTTAGAAATGTTTCCCAAGATGTCCCCCGTGCCCGTAAAAGGAAAAGGTATAAGCCATGCCCAGCTGTAGAAAAGCTCACTTCTGCACGTGAACCCCATCCTCACTTTGACCTTCGGGGGCTGGAAAGGACAGTGTGTGCCTCACCAGGAGTCAGGGCCTCTCCGTTCCCTGGCATCTCTGTCCGGTTTTCCCCGGACACACATGGGGCTGCCCCAAACCCCAGCCCTCTGGGAACTCTGCCTCTATCTGCCACCTGCTGCTGTTTGGTGCCCCCAGTCAGCCTGAGAATGCCAGCTGCAGTCGGCGTAGAGCAGGGCGACTCTGTACTCTGTCACAACATGACACACCCAGGCCAGGATCCTTGCCATGGCACCTGCACAGCTGCCAAGGTCAGCGGAGCTCTGCTTCAAGCCCAGGAGCCTCAGGTGTGCTAGGCACTGTGGGGACGAGAGCATACTTCCTGCCAGGAGCTTATGCTCTAGGGACAGTAACCCACTCCTGTGCCATCCCAGTTATCTGCTGCCCTCACCCTGGTGCGTACCAGGCAGTCACTGAGTCTTTGCTGACTGCCTGCCTGCACGAGTCCATCAGAGCACCTCATTGGAGAAGAGGGCAGCACCGAGAGACCATGAGGAAGGAGACCCTGAAGGGCAGGGCCCGGTGATGGCGGCAGGTGCCTGCCTGGTAGCTTGCTTCCTTCCAGCCTGGTCCAAGGTTCGCCTCGGGTTCCCCAGGAAGACGGGCTGGACTCTGGATCTCTGGATCCTCCTGCCACAAGCAGACAGTTTTCTCTGATCCTGATACACTTGTCCATTGGGGTGAGGTGCTCTTAGCTCCCTTTCTGATAGTCAGGACAGGGAGCTGCACATAGCAGCTTTTCTCGAAGCAGCGCGGAGGGAAGCCCAAGTCCTCAGCCCATTTGCCAGGCGGTGAGGGAAATGGATTGTGTGCCTCTGGGCCCTCGCTCTCCTCGGGAAAGGAAGGCCCTCCACGCGGGCTCTCAGACCCGCCCGGCTCAGCGGGGCCAGAATCACCTGGTGACCCGGGAGGCAGTGCTTCGGTTTCTTTTTTTAATTGAATTTATTGGGGTGACATTGGTAAATAAAATTATATAGGTTTCAGGTATGCAATTGTATAATACATCATCTGTATATTGTATTATGTGCTCACCACCAACTTTGATTTCTTCCTGCAGAAAATGGGAATAGTACTCACCAAGTAATAATGTGTGTACAAGCACTGAGCACACAAAGGTGCCTAACAAACGTAACTCTCCTATTATTCCCTAAAGAGTTTCCCCACTAATTTGCGCCTATAGGCCAAACCCTCCTAGGGTACAGTGGAGATCTGGTCCCTATTTTTATTCCACATACTTTCATAATTCCAGTTTTGTTCTGCCTGATGTTATTTGGGGTTTGGAAGTCTTTCTGGTGTGCAGGGTTTTTGTTGTAAAGAGATGAAGGTTGATGCTTCTCGACTTCCGTCCCAAATGGGCCATGTGCACAGCTGCAGCGCGCTAACAGCCTCCTCTCCCTCCTGTCTCCCTCCAGCTGTCCCCGGGACGCCCCAGTACGTGGATGAGCAGTTCCTGTCCCGCCTCTTCCTGTTTGTGGCCCTGGTTATCATGTTCTGGCTCCTCATTGCCTAATGCTGGGCTCCCGGCCGCCGTCCATGGCAGGGCCTCTGGACTGGTGCCACACCACCCCCACTCTGGAGAACCGCGAGCCCTGGACTCAGTGGACTCAGTAACCATCAACGAATCTTGCTTCTCCATCAGAGCTTTAGGACTCAAGACTGTTGTCGAGAACCTTGGAGTGTGGCCACTGCCATAAACACTCTGCCGTAACCTCAGGCCTTGGCACCGAGCCGTCTCTCCTGGGTTACAACACGAAACCCTGTTCCAGCCAGCTCAGTAGCTCCTGTCTGCACAGGGAAGAGGCAGAAGAGAGAAACTGGGGGTACTTCACCTGAGCTTAATCTTATAAGAACAAATGGATGAACCCCATGTTAATTGTGGAAACCTCCTTCCGTCTCATTAAATACCCCTTGTTACCAGTAAACGGCCTCTGCGGTCAGTGGGGGTCCTCATCAGAGAGGCTCCCCTTCCAGACCTCAGTGCTGCTCTGCCCCGTTTCCTCCTCCCTCTCCCTCCTCAGCAGAGATGCAGAAATCGCTGTCCTATAAAGATCCTAATTGCAGCAGCTGAAGCCGGAGGCGCATCATGAACTCACCAGAGACCCAGAGATCTTTTATTGGCTCTGGCCATCCTCGGCGTCTTTAGCTCCAGAGAGCAGCTTGAATGACCTCGTTGTTGTTTGGCACAGATCATCCTGGGAGACGTGTCTTCACTCACAGATGTCTCGTCACCTTTCCCCCCAAACCACACACCTGCTCCTCTGCCAGAGGGCACAGCCTCCGCTACTGCTGGCGGAGGAAGGACCTGCAGTCGGACCGCAGCGGGATTCAGACTCAGATGCAGGAACAGCTGCGCGGCAGCCCTGTCCCCACGGCCACAGAAGCTCCCCGGCACCTCCTCCCAGACCTGCCCGAAGGTCATGGGGTTTGTCAGGTCAGCCCCGCTGCACGGTGAAGACCATCCGCCACGTTGTCCTTCATGAAGAGGCAGGAGTGGATCGGGGGACACCTTGGATATGTGCTAAAGCCAGGGAAGCTGTGGCTCCAGGCCAGGCAGCCGGTGATGGGTTAAAGCCGGGCAGGGGCCTGGGGAGCCTCAGCACAGCGGTCCGTGGTGTGGCCTCTGTGGCAGTCATGCTGCCCAAGCCCTTGGTTTGTCCTTGAGCTTCACACGCTTCTTTCTCCGCATCCGTTGGAGGGAGCGTGGTGCCCGGCAAGAAGACGGTTCACTTGGTGGAACAGTCTGTCAGGCCTCTCCCTAGAAATCCAGTCTGTTCCAGAGATCCCCGCGGCTGGGAGGAGATGGCCTCCTCAGAGGCCTCCGTCTCATCACCGGGCCACCTCCAGCAATAGCCTCACCTGATGTTTTCCCCCCGGATATGGCGCTGCATAGCATACGGAAACCAGGACCTTATCCAGGATGGGGAGGCCCTCTTTTCCACTCCATAGCCCCCTCTCCCTTTCTCCTCATAATCCGTCAATGCCAGAGTTCAGTGTTAAAAGTCAAAATTCAAGTATTGAACAAGTGGTTCGTTTGCTGAATCCATTTGATAAGAAGAAGCCAACAGCTTTCCAGTGTGCCTCGTGGATTTTCAATACCTTGGTGGCACCCGCTCAATAGTGCTCTTTTTGTCACCTAGAAATCCCCAAAGTGGAAGGTGCCCCGAGAGTTTCTCAGCTGGAGAGGGCCGGCGGGATTCCTCAGGGCAGTGCCTCCACCTAGTGGTCGGGGAGAGAACGCCAATCTGTTGGCCCCACGGAAGTGGGTTTCCAGAAGCACGGTTCAGGAAGGGATGTGGGTAGGAAGGTGAATCACTTGGACCTTTAAGAAGGAAACGGAGCGAGTCAGGAAAGGTCTCCCAGCAAAGCTATAATCACTCGGACTCTTAAAGGAAGTGAGCCCAGAGGAGCTCTCCCAGCAAGGTATCCCAGGAGCCTGTTAGCAAAGCCAGTTGGCTACCTGCCCTTTGGCTTTTAGTCTTATAGGTCCCCACTCGGCCTCTGCCAGGAGCTGGGGCAGGAGAGCCCATTTGGGACCGCTGGCCCAGCCCTGATAGGGAGCCCCCTTCCCACAACCCCCTGCAGGCTCCCCCTCTTCCCCCCTCCAAGGCCGTCTTCCTTTCTTTTGTGTGTGTTTTTTTATGTTCTTAGCCTCTACTGCTCCTGCCGCCTTTGTGGATCAGGACCAGGTCCCAACCACAGACAGAAAATGATACCATGTACAGCGGCACACCCTGACCAGCTGCTAATTTTCACTGTTGTGAAAGTGATTTGATTTAGAATTAAATGGTTTTACATTACTGCGAGCTGTGGGCTGCTTATCTGAGACCTGGGGTCGGGGGTGGGCTAAGGAGTGGTCACACTGGTCTGGCCCCCGGAAAGCACCTGTGTGTCTTTGGGAGCATCACACTGAAGACAGAAGTCTTCAAACGGCCACGTAGGCAGGAGGCCTGGCCTCCTCCATAGTCCTGCCCAAGGGGTGGCCTGTCTGACAGGCAGCACTGGTCCTGACAAGTATGTGGAGTGCCTAAGCTCGCAGGCTGCCACACAGAGCATAGCTTGTGGCCCGTCAGAGCTGGAGGACAGACACGGCCCTCTGTCAGCAGCTTTCTGCCTGCTCTGGGACAGGACAGGTGGTCTGTCTGCCCAGCAGGGGTGCCGCTCCACGGAAGCTCAGTAGCAGAACGGGAGAGGGAAGATGGTGAGGTCACAAACTCGGCCCAGCCTCAGGCTTCCCAGCTCACTAGAGCTACCTGTCATCCCTCAGCATGGAGCTCTTTTCTCCTGCTTACACTTTGACCTCATCGTTATCAAGTTGATCAGTGGCGTGGCTCAGTGGCTCTCGGGGCCCCTCAGCCAGCTAGCAGCTGCCAGAAGCTAGCCTGCTGTCCTAACTCCTGGTCCAGTGCTCTCTCCTCCATAAAGAGGAACCTGCAGGACAGACCCAGGAGACAGGTGTGTTTCCTTTGGCCTACATGGCATTGTTAGAACAACTTCATGTTCCCAACGTTTTAAAAAAGTGGAAAATGTCACCGAAACATCTGGATTTTTAGTTTATCTTGAAAACAAAACAAAAACAAAAAAGGGAAGCTGGGAAGTGCTGAGTTCATTTACATCCCTCTTTGGTCCAGCTAAGGACCTGACCCGGGAGTGGTGGTTGCACCCACCCCCAATATCTACTGGGCGTCTGTTTATCCACAGTGGCGCAGAGAAGTGGCTTCTCTGAGCTGGAAGCTTCTAGAGGAAGCCTCCACGCTTCACCCCTCTCCCCCAAAGCTAGTTTATGGGGTAAGCCCTATTTTTCCTCCATATTCCTTTTTTTTTTTTTTTTTAATATATTTTATTGAATTTTTACAGAGAGGAGGAGAGAGGGATAAGAGAGCTAGAAACGTTGATGAGAGAGAAACATCGAAAAGCTGCCTCCTGCAGACCCCCCACCAGGGATGTGCCCGCAACCAATGTACATGCCCTTGATCGGAATCGAACCTGGGACTCTTCAGTCCGCAGACCGATGCTCCACCACTGAGCCAAACCGGTTCGGCTCCATATTCCTATTCTTGATTTCAGGAGTGCTTGAGAGTCAGGAGACCTGGGTTGCCAACCCAGCTGTGCCATTTCGAGGTAATCGAAAACGATGGTATCCTCTGGTCCTCAGCAGTCCCCATCTGTGAAATGGGCTGAGTTCTCTTTGAGTCCTCCCGCGCTGCATCATCTTTACCAGCTCCTGCAGCCACGGAGGGACCCACTCGCACTAGGGGGCGCTAGGACCGCCTCCGAGCCAGGGGCCAGGGCCAGCGAGGGGCGGGGCCAGTGTGAGGCGGGGCCTTTACGGGGCGGGGTCGGCGTGGGCGGGGCCAAGGAGAGGCGGGGTCGGAGGGGGCGGGGCGTCGGCGGGCGGGCCCGGGTGCCAGGTGCGGTTTGGTCCTCCCGGGGCGCCGTAGGCGGTGCATCCTGCTCGCGCCCGGGGCCAAGGTCCTCCCGCGCCTGAGGCGACAGCGGGTGCCGCGAAGAGCCGCCGCGGCCCCCGCCCCTTCCTCCGTGCTTCCGCCCCGGGACCATGGCCGCGCCGGCGGGTAAGCAGGGCCGCGCCATCCGGTCCGCCTCTCTCCCCTCGGAGGCCGGGCCCGGGCGCCTGAGGGGAGCCGGCGGCCTCTCGGGGGTTGGGGCTGAGGGGACCCCCATGCGTGCGTTCGGGCTCCTTAGCGGGAGGATTGGGGGAGCGAGCGCAGCGCTCCCCGAAAACCCGGAGGTGGAGGGGCCGGGGGACTTGGGGCGCTGGAGGCGGAGGGCGCCCCGGGGACCCCGGGAGGAAGGAAGGGGGGGGGTGCTGGCTCCAGCTTTTAGCTGCACTTCGCGCCCGCAGATCCCCAAGTTCACACCTTTCCGAGGAAGCCGCGGGGCCTGGGTTCCCGAGGGGGGGGGGGTTGTGGGGTGTGGGGAGCACGGGATCTGGGGGTTCGGGGCAGTTAAGAGGGGGTGGGAAGTTACCCCGGGGCCTGGGTTTTCTGTGGGAAATGGAGGAGCTCCAAACTGAGGCTGGGCTCCGGGCAGGAAACAGGGGCGTGGGGCTCCCCTTGGGGCGGGAGGCACGGATTGGCGGAAAGGGGGCTGGAGCATCCTCCCTGGGGCTCGGGGTTCTCCCTTAGCCGAAGACATGTGGCCAAGCGCCTCCTGGAGGGAAGAGTTTGCAGGGGTGAAGGGTGAAGGGGTAGCTGGGCCTGCAGCGCCGCCTGTCCCCGCCTGGGTCCCGCACACGCCACCCTGCCGCTTCCTGCCCCCCCCCAGCCCCCCTGCACCAGGGGCTTGTGTGGCCCGGCCCCCAGGTGGCCCAGGGTCAGCGTCCAGAGCTTTCTGGAGGCGGCAGGAGGGAACAGCGGAGGCGGGAGCTGGTCCTGGCTGTCTGCGCCCCACTTCCTGGCTTTCAGTCGGCGGACAGTCACTTCCTCCATCCTGAATGCAGGGACCGGCCGCCGGTGGGTCACTTCCTCGCCGGGGGAGCCCGGGGTTTTCTCCTCGTTCTGGATCATTGGCTTTCGAGAGAGAGGGCTGGGGGGAAACGCACTCTGTCCGTTTCATTTTTCTTTTTTTAGATTTCAGAGCTCTTCAACTCAAATGATTTTATTTATTTTTTAAAGATATTTTATTTTATCAATTCTCGCTGGAGGATACTTTTCCATTGATTTTTAGAGAGAGTGGAAGGGAGGGGGAGGGACAGATAGAGTAACATCCATATGAGAGACACATCCATGTTGTCTCCCGCATGCACCCCTGACCTGCATGGAACCTGGGACCCTCCCGTCTGCAGGCCAGTGCTCTGTCCTCTGACCTAAGCAGGCTAGGGCTCACATGGTTTTCTATGACTCTTTCTAACCTCTGTGTAACGTAGGTCCCGTCTTGCACCTCAGTTCTTGGAAACATGTAAGATCTTGGCGTGCACGTGTCAGTTAGGTTTCCTCTGAGTGAACGAAAAAGCTGTCCCGAGGCATCCAAGCCTCTGGTGCACTCGTTTATACGTCCTACCGTCAGGATGCTTGTTGGCTGTTTCTGTGCCATGAGTGCGCTTAGCCAAGCACGGAGGAGCAGAGGGATGGAGTTCACAGACACTGGCCCGGCCTTGGTGGTGCTGGCAGTCCTAGAGGTGGACAGTAAGTCATGGAGGTAGCAATGGGGATGAGTGCTACAGTAACTGAAATCACACAACGAGGCAGTCAGCCTGCACCTGGGCTGGGGAATGCTTCTCTTTAAAAAGCAAGTGTATGCTTCCCCCTGAGACTCCGTAGAAATTGGTCCTGCAAAAGGAAGGCGAAGGACATTCCGGGCAGAGGGACAGTGTGAAAAGGCAGGAAGGCGTGGAGGACCCTTGAAGAGCTGAGAAAGCCAGCCTGGCTTTTTTATGGGCGAGGAGACTGCGGGGCAGAAACCACCTCCAGGTTCCGCAGCCAGCTGAGTGGCAGTGGCTGGAGTTTGCATTTTCCAACTCGAAATTGAGTGCTTCATCCTCTCTCTCTCACACAAACACCAGAACGGGCTTGCACGGGGAGGCAGAGAAGGAAGTGGGACCTCACCTCTCCCTGCTTCTGGCCAAGCTGTCTCAAGACAACTCTGATCGCTGTGTAACAGGAGAAGCAGCAACGGCGAAATCCAATATTTACGGAGTGCCTGTGATGTCTGAGGCACTGGGCCGGGACAAGGGTTACCTCTGCTACATCCTAACAGCTGCAGGAGCCCGGGAGAGCTAGGGATCGTGTAACTCCCCTTTTACAGAGGAGGAAATTGAGGCTCGGGGACGAATATGCCTTTGTCCAGGGTCACTCAGCTAGCGGGAGAGCCAAGGCTGACCTAGGACTTACCTGTCCCCTTTGTAATGGGCTGGCACACCGTGAGCCCTTAACAAAGATTTGTAGAAATAAATAATGTGATTGGGACCTTGGAGAAATTCCTTGTCTGCTTAGCGTAATGAAGGGAAAGAAAAAATACACAAATCGCAACAAGCTGTATAGTGCACGCACCCTCCCAGGAGCGTGCCTTTCCCCTCCCCCACAGGCATCGTCTCCTCACCTCTCAGGGACCCCAGGAGGCTTGCAACCAGGGCAGCCGTGGGCAGTTCAAACCTGGTGAACCCCTGAACTTGTCCCCAGGCCCCCTTTTCTCTGGGGAAAAAGAAGAGACAAGCTACATAAAGCCTGTGTGTGATCACACTGTGGCGTTTCAGAGGTGAGGAAGAACTGTTCGTTATTCATCCTATAAATTATTGAATTCCTACTGTCTGCCATTTCATCCCCTCTGCTAGGCCCTGGGGGCACTGAGGGGATGAAATAGACCGAATCCTTTCCCCGTGTTCTGGTGGGGAGAGAAGGACAGTAATGAGCTACATGGCTATGGCAGGTCAGGGATAAATGCTCCAGAGAGAAATCAAGTAAGATAAGGACATAGGAGCGGTGGGAGGTCAGGGAGGCCTCTCTGGTCAGTGTCTTCTGAGCAGAGAAAGGAAGCAAGGACTTGAGCCGTTTGAACATCCGGGGGAAGAACATTTTAGACACAATAAGAGAATGACTAAAGGCCCTAAGCCAGGAGTGTGCTTGGCATATTTGAAGACCAGCAAGGTCTCCAGATGGCTACCAGATCTGGTTAGGGAATGCTTCTTTAAGGAGGCAAGATTGAGAAGTTTGGAGGGGGGGGGGGTGCCCTAGCTGGTTTGGCTCAGTGGATAGAGCATCAGCCTGTGGACTGAAGGGTCCCAGGTTTGATTCTGGTCAAGGGCACATGCCCGAGTTGTGGGCTTGATCCGGAGCATGGAGGA